ACATACTATGGGGTTTTGGCTACTGAGATGTAAGATGTTTTATCCAGAAAAACCGTCCACTTTGGCAACCCCTCAATCCGCCATTTTGAGATATGGAGTGCTGAATTATGTAACAAAAAAAAAACAACTTACACACCTCAGCTTTTGTCTTATTTGTACTTTTTTCGAATTTTCATTTTTGCTCATACAGGGTGGTGAAGAACGCGAATTGTACTTTTTCTCAAAAATTTCAAATGCATCACCCTGTATATTTGTGCAAGTTTGGATTCAATTCTTTATATAAGCTTTTTTTATTACTAGACACATAAGCGTTTTTACGGCTATTTTTTCGGTTATTAGCCTATTTTTTGGAAACAAATAAATTGTTGATTAGTTACAAACTGTCAAAAGTACCTTTGTGAGCATTATAATAAAAACGTGTTTGTTAATGAATTTTTCTAAAGAAGAAATGGTGAATATGGTGTTCGTTTTGGGCGAAGCCCAAAGAAATAGTTTCCTGCGACATCCAAGGAAAACATTTTCCACACTACGAGAACGTTTTGAATCAAGTGAAGCAGTAAAAAATGTATAAATAATCCAAGTGTCACCAATGAGGCGAATCAGTTGGAGGTACTATTTGAGAAAAACTACAATTTGCGTTTTTGACCACCCTGTATGATCAAATATTAAAATTCGAAAACGTAGCAAATAAGATAAAAGCTGAAGTGTGTAAGTTTTTTAATACAAAATTTAGCAATCCAAATTTCAAAATGGTGGACTGAGCGGTTGCCGAAGTGGGGGTTTTTCTGGACAAAACACCTTATATCTCAGTAGTTAATTCCCAAAACCCCATAGTATGTTATATCAATTTTCTTCTTCTGAATTGGTTTATCCAAATATGCAATGAAATTTGAGGCATTCCATTTGAAAAATCACAACTTTGATATGTAGGTCGAAATAGGGACACCCTGTATGATGGCCAATATATTATAAATATGCCCTCAAATGTCATGTATAACATCCCATAAATAGAAGTTCCCAAAACGTATTTGTTTATGAGTAATATTCCGTCCACGCATGGATGGGCCACCCTGTATAAAGAACATAGGGTCCTAAAACCCAACTTTGTGGTACCCCTGAAGGAACCTTTTGCAAGTGAGAGAAGTGTTTGTATCGTTTCGTACTTTATCCGGACTATAGGGGTTTCAGCTACACATAAAGAGAGACGGAGACCTGCGAGATCTGCGTGGAATTCCATTATGAAATTGACTTTCGCTGAACGGGTAGGCTCGGGTGCGCGCCTTTTCGGTCTCGACAGGTGTCCCAGATATCTGGCGCAGCTCGCAATCGGAGAATTATGTCCGACTGCGTGTGAGCTGGCGGTGCCGCTACTCTGGCGGTACCGCGGTACCAAGCTGCGATCTCTGTAGGGCAGGGCACATCTCTTTTCTCACAGGTGGTCCTGACGTATAGCTGGCGTTAAGTTTGTTTAATTTCAAGTAACTTTCAAACGAAAAGGTATCTGCTTCCACTTCCTACGGCCTCGCTTTGCTGGTGGGTGGACCTTTCAAGTAGTAAAATATCCGTTGGAATCGGCCCGTTCAGAACAATTAAGTAATACGTTTGTCGGGAAAACCCCGCTCAAAATATATCTACATGTCTAAAGAAAATAAAAAAAATAATAAACAAGCAACTCCATCATGTATACTAAGTGACATATAAATCCGAACACCCAGTTTAAATGGTTTTATTTTAATAAAAGTTGGTGAATGTATTTATCTTACTGTAAATAACAAGTGAAAAAATTTTCAGCCTTATCAGTTGGACATTCCGGTTTTTATACTGCTTTTTTTTAATTCACTAACGCTCTAAAAATGAATATTTCAGCCGCAGTAAAGAATCAACGTTGGCGGATTTTGGTTCTTGACATCCTTTACGATCGGTTACGATGCCTAGAGTACGGAGACCTGTACGATTTCGTCAACTTAGTGAGTCTGATAGGGGCCGTGTAGTGGGACTTCGGGAAGCTTGACTTTCTTTTCGGGCAATTGCAGTTAGAGTGCAAAGAAGTGTAGACACTGTGGTTAGGTGTTGCCAGGCATGGCTTCGAGAAGGCCGTACGCTAAGAGCAAGCGGCACTGGACGCCGCCGTAGAACAACAGAAGATCGCCGCCTAAGATTATTGGCCTTAAGGGACCGTTTCTCCACTACCAGGTCCATTGCAAATGAATGGTTTGCAGAACACGGAAGACCTATTGGCATGCGAAGTGTTTACCGACGAATGAGAAGTTTTGGCTTGTTTTCATACCGGCCACACTGGGTCCTCCCTTTAACTCGAGAACACCGACGTAATCGCCTTGAGTGGTGCAGACAACGGTCACTCTGGGATCAGGAATGGAACAGTATTGTCTTTAGTGACGAGTCTCGATTTTGTTTAGGCATGCACGATGGTCGTTCCAGGGTTAGAAGACGACGTGGTGAAAGGAGGAATCCACAGTTTTTTGTTGAAAGACATGTTCATCACACTGTTGGAGTTATGGTTTGGGGTGCTATAGCTTATGGTTCCAGGTCACCTTTAATCTTCATCAGAGGTAGCATGAACGCGCAGCGTTATATCCACGAAGTTCTAGAACCCCATCTTTTACCCTATCTTGACAAACTGGCAGATCCAACTTTCCAACAAGATAATGACCGACCACATGTTGCAAGAGTCACAATAGACTTCTTTCAACATAATGATGTCACATTGTTACCATGGCCACCAAGATCTCCCGACTTATCCCCAATTGACCAGGTGTGGGATATGATGGGTAGGAGATTGCTCAATTTGCAACGTCCTCCTCAGACTCCAGAAGCACTTCGAGAGGAGTTGGTGGTTGCCTGGAATGAGATACCACAGGAGGACATTGACTACCTGATCAGAAGCATGCCTAGGCGCGTTGGAGAATGCGTAGCACATCAGGGTGCATCCACACATTATTAAAGGTCAAAGGGCTTTAAAGCAGTGCAATCATTTTGAAATTTTTATCATTTACTTATTGTGCTTCATTAAGTACTTATACAAAATTTTATTAAAATAAAACCATTTAAACTGGGTGTTCGGATTTATATGTCACTTAGTATAATTATCTGAGCATATGATTCAGCTGATTTACCCAACAAAAAGACCACACAGCATTGACATTTCATACGTCAAAAATAGAACTAACTTAAGATATAGGTATGACCTAAGCCTGAATAGCGGTGTATTGAAATTCAATAGTGATAATGGCTGCATATTATCTATCTTATTATGTAACAGTTCACACAACAATATTAAGGGAGATTGAACGCGCCCTAAACCATAACTCAGTTCAATTTTCTTCTAAAATAATTTATTTCAATAATATCATTACCCACCTCTGTGACACATATTTCGTATAATATTTACGCATGTGACTCCAACACATCCATAATGACGCGATATCCTTTACCTGCAGGAGGTCCGATCCGAATTCAGCAGCGATGCCTCAACGGCAACGTCATCGAGATCGTCGACGACGTGCGACGTGATACCAAGGCGTACAAAAGTTGTTCAGATGCAATGCACCATAAGTGGTTAGAGCCGATTATTTCTAGAAAATTTTGAATTATCAGTTCAATTTTATTTATTCTACACCACCGCAGCCGAAAGGTACAAAGTGCTGATCACGAATTAACCAATTTTTAGGTGAACTACTTCTACAAGGGTGGCAACCTCTGGATTTCATATTATGACGGTGATAAAGTATTTCTTAGGGCTCTAAAATTTCCAGCACAGACCCAGAAGCACTGTATTTTTTTTCCTACTTTGCGATTTTATCAAACTGATCGATTGTAGCCTAAAACATGTAAAACCTGTTTTTAAGCCTTCAATAATCATCTTGTATCGTATAGTACAAATAGGTACAAATGTTTATTTTGTGATGGCCCAGAAAATATATGAAAAGAAACGTTACTATGCCTCTTGAAAATAGAAAAAGAAGTCTTTGGCGATTTTCCTAGTGAGATATTTTTTCGATGTTCCCTTGAATTACCACACTTCAAAACTATGCTCTTTCAAGGTCTTTAAGTTATGTATTTTCTGTATTTTTCCTCTTCTAGTTGACAAAATAAAACTGTATAAATTGCACATTGCCGAAGCTTTAAACGTTTCAAAAAGTAAAAACATTTTGTCTATAAACTGTGCCTCATTAAATTTCTGGACGTTTTCATAATAAAATCGATCTCAGTCGAACGGTGTACTAATTAGCTATTTTATTAACAAAATAAAGACCTGAAATCACTGAAAGTTATGCTGAGAAAGAAGACCATTTGAGTTTATGTAACAACTATCTCATCAGAACAGCACATCATATCTTGGGAAACACGGCTCGTATCTAAATATGAATGACACAAACTATCTTATTTAATCAAAAATTTACATAACATGAACCAAAAATGCAAATATACATACACGAAAATGTATATGCGTATAGAAATAGATTTCCTCAACTTTCTACTTGAGAACGATTACTGCTTATAGTGACGTATGCAGGTATATATGGACGGGTTATAATATTTATATATGATAATATTTTTTGAAAGGCTGTTTAAGAGTTATTTGTTCATTCAATATTACTCTCAAAAGTACTGCATACATAATGTTTTGGTAGTACCAAAGACTTGTTAAGAACTATTTGTGGGTTAGTCGAGAGAACAGGCTGAGTAAGCATTATAATCTATACAAGGTGGTCCGTACTGTAAAACAGTGTCGCCATTTTTCCAAAAAAGTCAGTAATCTCGAAAACGGATGTATCAATTGTGATTGGAGCTCGTAATGATATCGGATCATAATAGATGATGCTGCTTTATTTACGAAAAATTGTGCAATGGTGGCGGAGTTAAAACGAACATTTCCAACTTCAACTTTTTTTATAACTTTTTGTGAACTCAAACCGTTTGTTGGGAGGTTTAAAATTTTAAAAATGTATACTATTGTTTTTTACTTTATTATTTAGTCTGGCTATACTAAATAATGTCATATCTAGTAGAGCCATTTATTTTTATCATATTTTTCATAATAGTCTTCTAGTATACTTTGCTCCTTTGGTACTTTTCCTAGTTTGCACTTCCATCCACAGTCCTAAGAAACATGCAGTATGATACCATAGCTTTACAAGCCTAAAATATAACGAGATATGTGAAATACTTGTTCTAAGAAGATTAACAAAATCATCTAAGCTATAGTCAGAATCACGAAAGATGACTATTACGTCATACCACAAATTGTACTGCAGTACCTCGGTTGGCCGCGTGGGTCAGAGTGTCGTGCTACTGATCAGCCCACCGGCAGGGCCGCGAGTTCCAATCTTGCCTTCGCCACGGATGTTGTGTGTCTGTTTTAGGCAGCAGCGGTGGCCGCAGTAGTAGACTCTTCGGTCTCCTGATCAGTCGCCGAGCGCTGTGCGGGTTCGAGTCCCGTCCCAGGAGAAATTTTTCTCTTGGCAATGGATGTTGTGATTGTCCGTATGTGGTAGATGGTCTCTGACTGTCGAACGCGGAGGTACCACCCGGCAGTTCTCGTAGGCGGAGCCAGAATGTGTGCATGTTGCATGCACACGTGTTCCCTCGCCAGAGTCCGTGTGGCGTCCCCCCTTTTCCCATGTATCCCCCTATAGCCCCACGGTACCCAATGGGTGCTTAGGCCTTAGGCCTTCGTGGTAGTTGGAGTATAAAAAAAAGTAATCAATGGACGTACCTCGATGATAAAATCACGATGTCACAAATAATGACAACAAATTTATATTATGATTTTGCGAAGTTAGGTTATTTCACCGATTATTTTTATTTTTATTTTATTTTATGGTTTTGAGTAATAATAATCTTAGTGCGGAGTTTTTGTTTTGAAAAAAACAGTCATGATTAGAACACCTTAAGACAGAAATACCAAAGTATTATTCGAAAATAACCTAACCTGCTTTAACATAACCTAACTATTCATCTTTCAAAAATGATCGATCATGCGTCATGCAAACATCGTCTATCTTTGTCGGATACATGCATATTAGCAATACAGTTTGTTTAAAAAATAAAATTCTGATTGTCTCTGTCTATCATATCTGAAACTTCATTAAAAATATTCACAAATCGCTGTTGTTTGTCTTTACTACAGACTAAAATGATGACGTAATCGTCATCTTTCGTGATTTGGACTATAGTCATTTCACTGCAACAAAGCAGTTATATTATATTTAATAAATTTGAATGTCAACTTTAATGCAAAATGCAAAGCTTGTCAGATAATTACGCCAACGGCTGTTATTTATTTGTGATTTATTTCCTATGATCTAGTAGTTTTGATTATGAATGTGGCAACCTTGTGCCTCGCTGTCATTATTTGACGTTGCGACTTAACTGCTTTGATTCAGTGAATATAGAGTCGTTATATTACATGTTCACATTCTCAAAACAGCTGGAATAGTTATATATTGTAGGCAAATCAAGTTTTTTTCGGCATAAATGTATCTTACCGCAAGTAAAGTCTGCATATTTATTGGCATTATGCTTCCAGCAGATATCCCAAAAGGTATTTGCATAGCACGTATCACCAATAGGATGTCTTTTCTGTAATCTATATTGTTTTGCCAATTACTTAAGTAAGCATTGGTCGATAAATCTGATATCTAGAACGGAAAAAAAACACATAATGCAACTTCTAAAATATGAACTAAAACTAAACTTCGCTTTTTTGATACAAGTCGTCTTTTAAGCTTTCGAACCTGCTTTTTATTTTACCATTCCTTGAAAGCCTTGGCGGAATCTCAATCTTAATGGGATCTGCAGATGTAATATATAAGAACCTAGGCTTTCTAAGAACTTCTAATAAAATTACTATTTTATGGTACTCATATGATACCTAGGTGATTGAAAAGTTCCTGTTTCTTTCTACAGTCTTCGAAAATGCACTGATTAAATAATTTGCATAAGGTAAGAAGAGGTGAAGTTTATACCGATATAGTAAATAAATCAGTAAGAAATGCTCCTTCACGATCAATAGTATGTAATCGAATTACTAAATTTGTTCGTGTATCATACGAGGCACCCAGTGCTACCGACGATGATTTGTTAATTTTATACTCAATATAGTTTTAGATAATACACGAATAGCTACGTGCGAGAGATTGTGGGTAAATGAACTTATGCGTCATATTTTGAAAAAGGAATATGGGTTTAAAAAGCTATTGGCAAGATGGGTGCCACATTTAACCTTGAATTCGAGTAAGACTTTTCCAGTAACATCTGGATCAATTTGGAAATAAAACTGATTTTATGCCTGGAATTGTAAAAGGGTACTATAAAAGTTTTGCTGATAACTGTGGAACCAGTCAAATGGCTTACCTCTGTTCCATATCTATCCAATTTATCCAACAGTATTACATGGTCAACTAAGTCGAAAGCTTTACTCCAGTCAAGAAATATTCCTACACTGCGCCTGGAGAGGATCAAATCACTAATAAGGCGCTGAAGGTGCTTTCACGGAAGTCCTTGACTTATCTCGTGGCTATTATCAATGCCATGCTAAGGACCCAGTACTTTCCATCGGCGTGGAAGACTGCGGAAGTTATAATGATTCCAAAGAAGGTGGGTTCGATATTTTCCCAGGACTATCGTCCCATCAGCCTACTGTCTGCTCCGTCTAAGCTCGCTGAAAAGGTGATTCTACGTCACCTTGCGAATTTCTCGTCAGATCGCCATGTGATTCCTGACGTGCAATTTGGATTTCGGTCTGAGCATAGTACGGAGTTACAGGCGGTTAGGCTGGTGGAACGAGTAACCAGGGGCTTCACCCTTAACGAAAGTACTGGCATCTTGCTTCTGGATGTCTCGAAGACATTTGACAAGGCGTGACACAAGGGCCTTCTCTATAAACTAATTCAAAAGGGCTTTCCATTTTGGCTCCTGAAACTTTTGAAATCCTTCCTTGATGAAGATAGGAAATTTCGCATCAAAATTAATAATTTCTTGTCGACAGTACGGCCCTTCAAGGCCGGCGTCCCTCGGGGATCGGTTCTAGGGCCAATCCTTTACTCACTATTACCCATGATGTCCCTTGCTCTAGCGACTATAAAGTCTATCTATATGCTGATGACACTGCACTGGTGGTCCAGTCGCGTACCGGGAATCTGGTTCACGACAGGTTACAAAGTGCGGTGGATGAGGTATTGGAATGAGCAGATCGGTGGCTAATCAAAATTAATTACTCGAAAACGCAGGCTATCTATTGTATTAAAAAACGTAGCGGCGCCCCGCCTGAGGTTTCAGTGAATGGAGCTCGCATACCATGGAGAAATTCTGCTGAGTATCTCGGTGTCACTCTTGACAAGGGGATGCCCTGGCAGAATCACACTGAAGCGTTAAAAACTAAATTCCAAATTACGTTTCGGAAACTCTACCCTTTACTATGTAGCACCTCAAAATTAAGTTTGGTTAACAAAGTTCGGCTATACAAGATGATTATCAGACCACCAATCACTTACGCAAGTGCAGCATGGAGTTTTCCTGCCAAAACGCATATGCGTAATCTGCAGGTTTTGCAGAACGAACCATCACTAACGCACCATGGTATGTCTCCAACGAGACTCTTTACAGAGACCTCGACATCCCTTACCTAAGGGACTACATGGAATATCAAGCGCAGTTACGTTATAGTCAAGCGGAATCGCACAGCCACCCTCTGTTGCGTGAATCAGTAGACTACACAGTCGAGTAAGTTCGCAAGCACACAAGACCGCGGCTCGCACTGTGATCAAAATCAAATCGTGCAATTCTAGATCCAATCAAAATTACGATTTTTGCCACACACAGATTCCTAAATTAATTTTTACTTGGCAGAGATGGCTTAAGGACTGGTTTTGGCGGATGGAGAAGTATATTGAACGTCGTGGAAATTACTTTGAGCGAAGTAGTCTAAATCTTTGTTTTTTGGGATGTAAAAAGGGCATTGCTGATTGGTTACCTGCAGACTGGTAAAACTATATCAGCAAAACATTATTGTAACGTTCTCGATAAGATGGCTGTACAAATGCTGAAGAAAAGTTGAGGTAGGTATACATAAAATGATCCTCGTAACAAAAAGCTTTCTAATAATGGCAAAAATCCTCCAATTACGTTTCAAATTAGTTTCCATACTTTAAGAATTCCAATTGAAGGAGTAGGAAAATTACTTCAGGGTAGGTAGAAATATACTGAACTCGAAAGAGACTATTGAATAATAAACATATTTTAAGAGACCAACTAATATTTTTTATGTAGAGTCCAGAAGCTTCTCAAATCACCTGCTACATTGTATCATGTATCAAAATATTGGAATGATCACCTCATTATCCATGTCTTGGGCTGGAATACAGTAGCAAAAGCCAAGCATGTAAAGTGCCGCCATAATGTGAAGTGCTCCTTCAACCAATAATCTCACATCTGCATCCCTGAGAATGGGTACATCTCCATTAAGTTCCTTACATCTAATCACTGAGTTATTCAACAGTTTTTAAATTAGTTGAATCATTTTTTTTCTTTTATAGAGAACGTATAAACCTCAAGCAAAAAAAATTCAATCATGGAAGCAGATGTGCGGAAATTAAAGGATAATTCTGTAGCTGCGAACAGGCCACGTCATAGTCTTCTATATGACAAAATTTAGTTTTTATTAAGGGTTCTATAGTATTAGAGATGCTCAGAATTTAATTTAATTCTGAGTGCAAGCCTGGTCCAAAAGGATTGTTATTCGTAGAAATGCACGACATTAACTGCAGACCAAAAAAATATTAAATACTGAAAATTTCCAAAATTATAAGATAAAACAAAATTTTGCCATGTAGTAGGCTATCACACGACTTATTTGCAGCTGCAGGATTATCCTTTAACTTCTGGACACTATGTACGAGCTCCTTCCCACTTCAGTTGGCCCAACAATTGAAATCTTAGTTTTTTTCTTATCAAACACAAATAATAAAAATGTAGCAGGGTGTTATAGGTTTAAAGTATTAACAATGAATATTTTGATAATATATAGTAGAAAGCACCAACTTTATCACTCCATAATCAAATTTGCAGCATAAAAATAACACATGTTGCAATTACAGCATATCAACCTATTTTCATTTCAATGCAAAATAAGTCTATAACGCAGAGGTGGCTGTAAAAAATGAAAGGTTTTCAAAACGGGTAGAAGAAATTTAGAAATTAACTGCAGACACCTGGTTATTAGGGAGAAAATTCGGTTGCTGATCATTAAACTTTTTAATTCTGGGAAATCAAACTCAGAAATTGCAACTTTGTTAGACTTATCGCGGTACAGTGTGAAAAATATTGTTAGAAGATATAACGTAACTGGTTCAGTTAATATTAAGCCACGATATGTGAAAAAAAGTAATATCACAAATGCCGACCGAAGAGCATTAAGAAGAATAATCGTGAAAAACAGGCGTGTCAATTATTTACAATTAAGTGCTCTGTGGAGTGACGCTGTTGGAAGGAGAATTTCGAGTCCACAACTCATAGAGAGGCCCACAAACTGGGATTTAGCACTTGCAAGGTAAGTTTTCTTATAAAAAAAGTGAAGTAAAAACCCTAAAGTTGCACAACTTGTTTATAGGCCAAAAAAAGCCACTATTAACTCCAATGCAAAATAAAAATCGGCTTAGATGGGCTAAAGAACATAGACAATGGACACCTCAACAATAGTGTGCAATACAATGGAGTGATGAGGCCCGATTCGAAGTTTGTGTTGGTGACAGTCGCAGTAGAGTTATTCGCAAAAAAATGAAGCATTCCATGTTAACTGTCTGCAGAGAAAAGTGAAATTTCCAGCTTCCAATATGGTCTGGGGCAGTATGTCATCAAAAGGAGTAGGAAAACTTCATTTTATTGATGGTAATGTGGATACAAACAAATATTTGGTAATTTTAGAAGAATCGCTTTTACCAGTGATGGAAGAATGTTTGACATCCGGCCAAGATTTTGTGTTTCAGCAAGATGGTGCAGCGTGCCACACCACAAAAAAGGCTATAAAATGGATGGAAGAAAATAATGTACCACTTTTGAAATGGGTTTCTAGCAATCCAGATCTGTCACCTATTGAAACTTTGTGGCACGAGATGAAAAAGGATCTACGACAACATCCTGCTCGTACAATCACCGAACTGAGACAAAAGCTTCAAGAAATATGGGATTTTTTTACACCAAATTTTTGCCAAAACTTGGTTAACACTATGCCCCAAAGAATTTCAGCCGTAATAAAAAATAAAGGTGATGTTACCCAATGGTAATCTTTCAATTGCTGCTTTGTTAACTTCGCGCGTTTATTCGCACATTGTTTCTTTGTTCAGATGTTCTATTAGTTATAGGTCCAAGTGATTTCAAATATGTATTTTTTACGACTAGAGTGTATCTAAAATGTTTTTGAGAAAAAAAATTGTTTTAGAAGTAAATAGTTTCGTCATGTTTAGTTTATAAAGGCATATTTTGGTACAAATCTTGAAGTGGGCCAACTGAAGTGGGAATGGACTCGAAGTTGAGTCATTTATTTTAACAGTGAGTAGATCTGATCAAAAGAAATGTTTTTTTCCTTTACCATTTTCCTGGTAAAATTAAAGTAACAAAGTTATAGCCCTTTGGAAGTTTGAGTACCGCCCTGTCTCAATAACAATATTATGTGGTCGTGTTTGGCGACAATGGATATAATCCGCCGTATCGGTTCATCGCATCGGAAACAAAAAAGCGAAAGAATTTGGAACGATGTTTTTACAGGTATCTCATTCATTTGTATACAGTTAGTGTCAGTGAATAGTGGTATGTGTTGCGTGGCTCAAACGAAATAAAAAATGGCACATGTTTATGCGGATCGGTTTCCCAATCGAGTGCAACCAACCCCTCGTGCCTTTGTTAATGTAGTACAACGGGCTTGTGAATCAGGTGACTTAAGACCTCACAGGGGACCTCACGATCAAATACAGGTCCGCACTGAAATACTTGTCGGGAGGATACTTTATAAAACAAGGTAAAAATTTTTTTTTATTTTTTTTTTATTTTTACACACATATTTTGGTTTATCTTCCTTCTACAATCATTATCTGAAAATTAATGACTCAACTTCAAAGTCACCCTGTATATACTTTCAACAGACAACAATACACTTAGTTTAAAATTACACTCACCCCATAATCATATACAAACTTACTGTACAGGAAAATATATCGCTTGCAAACGTCACTAAGAACGCCTTTGAGAAAAGTTTGTTAACACCGTCTGCGAACCTACAATAGGATTTTGAATATCACTTCGGTTACACATTCAGGGACGTGGGTACTCGCTTTAAATGCCCTTTATTGATCGTTGATTCAAAATATGGTGTTAACGGGTTGATGAGTTACTTTGGAATTTTTAGAATTATTCTAGTTCTCCAAAAATCAACGAGATAAGTACGCCATAAGCTATTACTTGTCGAATTTTGAACACTAGGTATAGAACATATTTTCTAATACTAATGTTTCGGAGTTTGATCCATCAAGTCATTTTATGGCGAACATTTCATGTCAATATAGTATTTCCGCAATTTTTCAAAAAGTGTGCTAATAATTCATTACATTGCACTGATCAGAATATTACCACATCAGAAGACAATAGTGTTCCACACACTCTCGCAATTTATTCCGGATTATTGATTCAGGTTCTTTAGAATCGTATAAGACCAACAGCTTTTTGTTGAGCATCTCCAGCTGAACCGTTATTTGTATCAGAAGTGTCCTGACTAGTATGTCGTAGCTGATAAATCCTAGCAATCCCCATTCTTCAGCTATGTCATGTATCTGTTTCGATAAATTAGACTTATCACTTATTTCAGGATTGGACAGATCTGAAATCTAATTAATTGAGCGACTTATAATAGCATTTTCAAGGGCTGGACTTTTTGACACGTTGAAGGAGTAAATTAAGTAAGCCGCCTGAACTAAATGAACTAGCTCATCATTCCTCGAAAAATCTGTCACTAGTTTTCCACGAAAGAATGGATCCCGATGACCAAGGGAACTCGTTCTGTAGGCAACCAAGTAACCAGAAGGTTGTGTAACTAGTTGCCTGAATAGTATCGTGGTTTAGATCTAGGATATCGGACAGGACAAAATGAAGTTATTAAAAAAGATAGGGGCAAACGCTGTTAGTTACAAAGGCTGAAAACAATAAAAAATAGCTAAACTTTATCTAAATAATGGAAAAATTAAAATAATACTAAAATGAAAATATAAATTAACTATACATTTTATTTAAAAACATCAATGGTTGATCCTTATCAGCTTTACGCGTATTATTTAAAATTGAAACATCTATCTTCACAAAAAAATTAAAAACTAAAAAAAGAAGCTCCATGATTGCTGAAATATTTCGAATTTGAAAAAAATGTTTTTAGATTCCTAATTCGTTTTATTATCAGTTAAATGAAATATTGTTTTTGAAAATGTACTTATTTTAATTATTTCTTGTATAGAATGCGACCTAAAAGTTCACTAATTATTCCGAAAGTTAGGTAACTTATTGCAGAATATATGACATGACGTAACATACCAATACCCAGACGTGTTTGGAGAAAAATCGAGGATAATATAGTCCCGTCTGAGAAAGATTCAGATGTCTTTTCAAGCAACCCGACAATACGAAGCTGAATGTTATCCAAATATACGTTATTCTTCCTTTCCTAGTTCTTTTAACGATAGCTTCGTAATTTTCCATGCCCCAGAACTGTTTGGTGGTTTCTATCAAGGCTCTCATTTGTTTGCGACCAAAAAATAGCACCGATGTTCTGACCAACGCCTGAAAAAAATGCAAAACGGCATAAAAAATACGAAGTTCTTAAACTTATTAATATGAATACTGCTGAAAATAGAATGTCTGACGCAAGGAGCTTCCCAAGACGGTACACGCGTATCTTGCCGTGTTCAAAGAGATGCAACGCTGACAGTGGCGTGCGATGTGTTTTGCTGCTATCTTCCTCTCCGGTGTACAAATATAACTCTGTCCTTTTTATCTATTCTGTTTATTAGTGTAATTCAGTTAGAATAATTTCTACTTACATGAGCATACAGCGTTATATTTATAGAAACTCCAAGAAAGCCCCTAACTGTTATACCTTCGCCATTGCACAGTTTCATTATAGTCAGAGTAGGAGGACATAAGAATAGTATCCAAGATATGGAGTAGCAAAAAATTTGCATCTTCGTGAAGCCCTAGTTAAAAAAGTAATAATAGTTGCATTATTTATTAGTTGAAGTAAAATGAACAAAAAAGCCAAAACTCACAACAACGGGCCAAATCGCGTTTCGAATTCCTTAACATAGTCAGAAGAGTCTTTATAAATCTTGGATTTGCCTTTGTATGTTTCACAGATTTCTACAGGGTGTTGTCAAATAAAAACCATATGTATATTAGGTTTGCCGAGTTCTGAAATATTCACTCGAATATTTTTACAAAATTAATTATTAAACTTCGTTAGAAGGCCTCTATAAACCGAATTCCAGATTTTGTTAAGAATAATTTCTATGAAAATAGTTTAAGGGTCTCACTCGCTTATGAATGGTATATAAAAATAATCGCTTTTCCTAAGGCTGAAGACGACTTCACCAGTGACAAGGATTTTGGTGCTTACTGAAAACTAAATTTTTGATATATGTTTATACTTACTTTGAAAGGATGGTAACCTATCACATTGGCCAGCTTAAGGCAAAACTCAATATCAGGATAATACGCCATGCTACTCAACCATTAACCCAGCATGTACTGCTGAAGCTAGTGCATATCTTAGGCAAAATGACTAGGTACTGGCGTTGTAATGTAGATTAAAACAAAAACAAAAGGTGTAATTTTGCACACTCTTGTCCATTGCTTTTGAATATTGGATGAAAATGAAAATTAGAGGAAAGGCGTTAGAAATCAGATTTGCTTTGATGTGTTCCGGAGGTAATTTGTAGCTGTGTAGGGAGGCCTTTTGATGATGTAATTTAGACTACACAGCAAGCGGTAACAAAAATAAAATACGTTGGATTTTTATAAAGATAACATTGATTTTATTCGTTTGATGAGATTGCCTTTGTGAGAGAAATACGCAGATATACATCTACTTCAACTTGGTAAGAAAAAATAGTATCGATCAGCTTGACTATATTTTCCGCTACCACTTTAGTATTTTTCTCAAACATGGAACTGTTCATGTTTTGTCGTTTGAAAAGAAAATAAATAAACGTATTCTTCAAACCTGACAGAATTTCATCAAAATTTTTGTAACTTTCACGATTTCTTCAAGATATAAATTGATCCATACCTTAAACAGACTTATTCCACTATATACGATGAGGTTGATTTGACTGACGTCGTAATATGTACGAGAGACAAGAGCGAGAAGCGTCAGTGGTTTTGGTTGTCAGTGTATATGAAATACAGAGTCAACCTACTTGGAACCATTTTTTGTTTCGATATCTAGCCATCTGTTCGTGATGCTGATGCATATTCAAAACAAACAAAAACTGATATAGATACCCTTAGGTTATCTACCAAAAACTTGGATATGTTTTATCTAGAACTACTTATATGTGGTTGGATTTGAAACCTTGAGCTTTCTTTTTAATGCAGTGGTAACGTATTGCAACAACAGCAGTGTTTAAAACTTCTCAGAAGCTTCCTAGGCAACCCGCTCTTTGACAACAAAGTGTTAGACCACATGCTTTAGAATATCGCATATATTCAACAAAAATTTAAATGATGAACTTTGACAAAAACATCCACATTCTGCCGAAAATATTAAGGTAATTTCTAATACCAAATTAATATTTTTTTTGGTTAATAGATTTCTTATACAACTTAGGATCATCGATATGACTTGGGTACGTGGTAATAAAATCTAACCCAAAAACAGCCTAATAGTCCAGGATACCACTATCAATTGACCATATTAACTTCGTTGTATGACCATTCAAAAAAATTAATATACAAAAGTTGTAAGGTGTTATATAAAGCTTTTCAGATAATTTCTTTTGTGTTGCAGAAAAGTGATGTCGAATAAAGCCTTATTTTCAAATAAAACACTCAATTTTCTTGAAATTAAACATATTAGGTATGCCATATTTATTTTTAAATCTTGTGTCTTTTAATCATTTATGCTGCTTATACCGGATTGCATATGCGGCCAAATGCAAGCGGATTAGAACTCGGAAACACATAAATAATGCACCCATGGATGTAGTGGAAAGGGGATCAAATATATTTTTAAAAACCCCCGAATAACAAGAAGGAAGTAACGAAAGCTAAAAATAAAAAGCGCTAGCATAATTCTATGTCACATTAATAAGATCCAGCATCCACATTTTCTATAATTCGCTGTTTGAAAGTTTTTAGAGGTTGATAAATAATCATAATATACAGCAAGTTTTAACTTACCAGTGTCTAATCATCATCTGCGGGCGCCCATGGACTCCAGACTATTACAGGCCTATGTATTTCAATCTAAATGCAACCACAGGTCTGACTCTGATTATAACTGCGAATTGTCTTTTTATCAATTTACGCACTGTTCTAATCACCATGAACGAAAAGCTTGAATTACTTCTACATTCTCGTAAGCAATGCATAGCAGCACTTTCTTATCGTCTTTGACAACGGCGTTAAAACAAATTCAATCAGAATTATTCACTTTTTTATCATGTTTCATTATAGCTTTTCTTCCGGGCAAAAAACAAACGCTGCTTGGCTGGTGTATTCAACAGAACTTTTTGTAATAGCATTAACACAAGTAGCAATAAGAGAATAATAGATTGTGGGCGTTGTAATGTAACAGCAGACACAGTTGATGCTGTCATTTCCACCAGTTCCTTCAATGCCTTGTTAGTGTCATATTCTACTAAAATGTTTGATGCCAACTAAACCAAATGTCAACAAGCTTTTCTGTGGTACCATTAGATAGGGTAAAGTTGGGTAATTTGTACCATTTGGTATACAAGTTTTATAAATCTCATAAGTGACTTAAGTATTAAGATTGTTCTACATTTTTCTTTTAAAATCCACAGCAAAAAACTTATGGTCCGGCACAAATGACGGATGTTTTTGAAATGGCTAGCTCTCTCCGGTAGACATTATGGACTATGGATCAGGAGACGCTTGAGCCCGCGTTTTCGCGTACGACAGTTTTACTCGACATAATGAGCCGTATTCGTAAAACAAAGGATATCCTTGTACTTGCAAATTTTGAAGGAAATCCTCTAGATGGTATTTATAATCATTTGAAGTAAATGCTTTTGCTTTTTGAGTATAAGCATATCCTTCAAACCAGTGACGTAAGTAAAAGGATATTCATAATCTTCACCTTATTCTTGGCATAGGAAGCATATCCTTCAAAAATTCTGAGTGTGGTCAGTAGCAGACTCAACTTCGTAACGCAAGGTGGTCAAACGATGATGGCGGAAATTGTGGATGTTAGGGATGTTAAAATGTACAAACCTCGTTTACCTTCACTTAGTCGTGACAAAAAATTATATAGGTTCGACGAAACAAATGTACAATGGCTTTTTCTCTGAAGCAATAATAATAATAATAATAATAATAATAATAATAATATTTATTTACTCTAAAATATAGGGAACATGAAACGAGTAAATAAATATAATATATCCATAGGAGGACAACGCCTGTGCATGGATCATATGTATGTTGAATTGCAAAATATAATAAAATAGAGAGAAAAAAGAAATTATTGGTAAGAATGGTAGAGCATTTATTGTGTAATATTTGAGATTATTTTATTAATTTGATTTCTCCCAATCGTGTTAATAAATTTTTTTAATTTTTTTTTGAAGCCTAATGTATTGCGTAATTGTTTTAAATTATTTGGTAAATGTTCGTACAATTTTGGAGCTATATACAGGTGACATCGTTTCATTAGGGATTTGTTTGGTTTAGGAACATTTTTTGCGCGTAATTTATATCTGGTTTTATGATTATGTTTAATTATGTCGTGTTCACTAATAGTTTTGTGATAATGAGTGATGGTATGTAAGAAGTAAAGTTGTTTAGTATCATATACTTGTGCATCATTATATAAGTCATTAGTTGGGTATAATTTTGATTTGCCTAACATTGATTTTAAAATTCTTCTTTGAAGTACATCTAAATCGTTAAAGTATGTCGTGCACGCAGCACCCCACACTACTATACCATATGTTATGTGTGGCTCGACTAAAGCTTGATATATTATTCGTAGATAATATTCAGTTAATATATCGGTTAGAAATTTCATTTTATATGCTATGAATCTAATTTTCTTTAGTATGTGAGAAATATGTACATCCCATCTCAAGTGGGGATCTAGATAAATTCCTAAATATTTTGTATCATTAACTCTATTGATTTTTATATTTTTATCATTTACCTTAAACTGAAGGTGGTTTTATTTTGGTAGATGATTAGATAGTGATGAAAATGGTAAAAAATGAGTTTTAGTAAAGTTAATTGTTAATTTTCGGTTATTAAACCACTGAATAATTTTGCAAAAGTCATTTTGGATAATATCTTTTAAGTCGTTCCAATCCTTACCTAACTGACTATTTTACCAGTACTGTTAATTTTGAATATATCGTTTAAATAAATATTGAATAACAGAGGACCCAAAATTGTACCTTGTGGAACACCACATTTAACAAACATTTCTTTACTATACGAGCTTAATAATTTTACTGATTGCGGTCTATTTGATAAATAATTTTCCATTAAAGTATACATCTTTCCACGAAAACCTATTCTTTCTAAGATTTCCAAAAGTATATTGTGGTTAACTGTGTCAAACGCTTTTTGTAAGTCCACAAATACGCATATCGATGGTACTTTTCCATCTATATTTTGGGTTATTTCATCTACTATACTTAATACCCCATCTGTTGTAGATTTGCCCGCTATAAAACCATATTGATTTGAATTTAGAATTTTGAATTTATTAAGAAAATTAATCATTTTATTAAGGAGTAATTTCTCAAAAACTTTAGCTAAACTTGATATAAGTGAAATAGGTCGATAGTTAGTGACGTCCGTATTATCATTAGATTTATAGATAGGTATGATGATTGCTGTCTTGAAAGCTGATGGAAATACTCCAGATTGGAAGGATTTGTTAATGATATAAGCAAGTGGTTATTTGTTTGGCTAGTATCTTTAGATGTTCAGCTCTAATTTCGTCAACTCCAGGGATTTTTTTATTTTTTAGAGTCATAATGGCATTGAAAACATCCTGATAATCTACTTCAGTTAA